TATATAGCATCACTAATATCTTCAATGAAAGAAGCTATATATACATATATCACTAATACTATATATGTATAGTATTTAAGGAAGAGGGAATCAAGTAATATGTCAAGTAATATATCAGAAGGAATCAAGTAATATGAATCAAGTAATACCTTCAATAAAGGAAGAGGGAATCAAGTAATATGTCACGATGTGACCTCCATTTCTACAAGAAAATGAAGAATGCATACGTCTGGGCATTTGGCTTCCTTCCAATATCTGGTATCACAGACACATCGGAAAAGTCAATACGGAATTTCGTTAGCAAAGCTGCCATGCTTCTCTGCTCCTGTTCCATCATTGTTGGTGACGTGGATATTGAAAACACACGTAATCGAGCATTCTGGAATATCATTTTAGGCTTCCATTTTGTCGCAGCCAGAAACAGTAGATTTTAAGAAAACGGAAAAGGTTTTCTTCTACGGAAAAATAACTGTTGCCTTCATCACTGTTCATATTTGAATAATTATTTAAGCAGCTGAAGACTCCTGTTGTGACAAAATCATAACCGAAGCAAAAAAGGATTTTTTTTTTTGCTCGGATAATCGGTGAGAGAATCCCAAGCTAGTAATACGGACTGGACGCGGCTATGTCAGGCTCTTCGAATCCTGAGCTGCACGCTCATTTTCTATAAAATTGTATTAAAAAGAGAGAGTGAGGAAAAAGTCCGCTTTTCATTTTTCCGACTATACTAGAGTTCCCGCTGAACAGCAACAAACTATCTTACCTCCAAGTAACTCTTCGGTAACGTTAACAAATGTGGCACTAGGAGCGTCAGACCACCATCGTCATACAACCACCAGACGTCTATTGTAGCACCTTTGATTTTGCGATGGAAACGACATATTGATGCGACGAGTTCACGTTGTGCGGCCGTTGGACGGCGTGACCTGGAAACTAATAAGCGTAAATTTAACTGGAAAAAAAAAAAGAAACATAAGAAAGCAGAGAACTGGCTGAGTAAATGGGAAAACGAAATTTATGCAC